CAAAATGTGCATAGACTCAAAAGGTTTCATTAGCTTCATTTAGGTGATTGGTTTCCAAAATTTGTTCTGCTTTAGTAAATAAACCCCAAAATGTTTACCACTTCCAAATGTTCTGTTTGTGTTTTTATCCAACGTCAAATATCTAACTTCATTAGCAGCTCTTTTACAGATATTAAAGCCGGTCAGATTATTATGTTTTTGACGCAAGGCTCTAATGCTTATTTAGTCTAGGGGCATGTCATACATTACTTACCTAATTTCTCAGTCCCTCAGGCTTCCTCCCCTCCAGTTCTGGTATTCATGACCAGTGCCACAAAGTCACTCCTGGGGAAGAGAGGAATAAGGTAAGCGTTCCTATGTGTTGCATCACACTGGACTAAATGGGCATTAGAACCATACTGTACTAGAAAGGAGGCTTCTAAAAACCATATATTTTATAACCTGACCAAAGTTCAGCTTTAAGTTTTCATACTTGGCTTAGCACTAATGCGATAAATAATGAAGATGACACAACCCAAATTTTACTTGAATTACTCCTGGAACTGTTTGCTGGCCAGTTTTACACTACATAAAACACATCTGTGTTTACTTACATCTCTCTATAAACCCTTCTAAAGCTTCAACACGTTTTGCTGAACTTCAGTCTGCTTTCTTCTCGTAAAGATAGCAAAATCTTTGGTTGGTTTCATCAAAGCCATATTTCACATCACTTGTGGAAATAAATATGGTCTTCTGCCTGTTTGACCCTCAATGCATCCTAAAATGGTTTTCTTGAATGTCATGTCCTCTTGTTTAGTCCAAGATAAATAATATACTGAATGAACTCATAGCTAAGACCCCAGACACACCAGTGTCTTTTAGCCCATTTTACCACTGTCCTTGTGTTTAGCAAACCAATGGATGAGTCTACCAGTGCTTAGTAAAGGCAACATGAAAAAACATCTGTTTTCAAAGTGGAGTTCCCAGTGATGTCTCCAATAACCTCAGTTTGAGCTAGAAGTGATTTTCTTGTAGGTTGTTTATCTCCACTTTTCCCAAAATGACCAGAGGCTGTTCAACATTCCTCTATAGATCCTCTTTAGCAGGGGTCCCCAAACATTCTAATCTGGCAGGCTTATTGCACCCAATTCGATCCACTAACTTGGGTACAACCAGCCCGTTGGATTATTTGATATTCGATTACTGCTGCTAGCAGTAACCATTGTCTGCCTGCTGTGAAGGGACCCCGAGCCCCCCCACTGGCAAAACACAATAGTATTGATGGGGGAATGTCTCCTACAGCGCTGACTGCTTGATTCCCCCATCAACACAATTTTATTTGTCATACTTACCTAAAGTGGATACAGCATTGGTCCAATGTAGCATCTGTCCCCCACCGGCTTAATGGAGCTCTCACAGCCTCCCTGAGCAGAGAGCGATGACTGTCAGTCACTCCTGTCTGGTCTGCTCCCCATGCTCACTGGAGTGCTGGGCTATGGAGGGGGAGTGAGTGGCTGGCTCAGGCTTTCAGCGGCTCGATGAGAGGCCGAGCAAGGTGCCACTCCAGACTCTGGGGTGGATCCCGACTTTGAAGTCAGGATCTTTCACCAGCCTGGACCGGCTGAGTGACTTCAACCGACAGCAGGCTTCAGCCAGCTGAAAATGGGTCACATGAGTGCAGAACGAACTGCACTCCCTGTGGTCCACAGAAGTACAGCCAAAAGAGCTTTGGCTGTACTTCTCCTTTTTAAGCACCACTTTCCAATTGGTGATTCAAAAATCATCAGTATTCATTACATGCCGTATGTGCCTCCGCCAAACAGGTGAAAAACATGCTCACCTCCTTCTTAGACCTCATAAACAGGTCATAACTCGTTCATTACACTTTCCAGTAAATGCATCAACTGTATTCAATGGGAAACCTCCTTCACTGATCCTCCTCTTGGTTAGATTCAAAGTAATCTCCCACATCCAATATGCAGACATCACACAATATGGGTACTATAAAACAAGAAAGCAGAACCATAGTGCTCTCTATTTTTACCTTTATTTGTGCCCACAAAGACTATAAAAACAGCAAGACTCTTAATGTTTCTAATGGTCATAGCTCTCCATATAATAATCCAAGCTAGCCGTGGGGTGACGTCAAGGGCTCAGCTCCTGCCTCCTATATGCGGTATACCCTGTGATTTGGGCTTCTTCAGAAAAAATTATTCAAGTGACATGGTCTGGTGAGTTGCACTGAATAAATGCAGCATATCAGCATTTGTATGCAGAGCACCTCACCACAGCATTGTGGTATGAACATGGCACATAGAAAACAATTGTTTTCTCTGTGCCTGGCACTGAGTCTTTGTTGATCTGTACAGATTACTCTACAGGATAGTTTTGCACAGCTCTTTACAAAATTAAGGCAGACATTACAGTTACAATACAATTTGATACAAGAGGAATCCGAGGACCCTGCTTGTTGGAGCTTACAATCTAAGAGGGAGAGTCAAGTGATACAAAAGGTAATAAACTGTGGGGGGGGAGCTGATGAGAGAAAGGAAAAAGACCGTATTAGTTACAAGCAGATTAGCCTTTGCGTAAAGGGGAATAGAGTAGGAGATAGTCTGACAAACTGGGGTAAGGCGTTCCAGAAGAAGGGAAGGCTCTGAAGAAGTCCTGGAGATGAGAATGGGAGGAGGTGACAAGGGAGCTAGAAAGCAGGAGGTCTTGTATGGACCATGTAGAGTGGTTTGGTTGGTATTTTGAGACCAGGTTAGTGATGTAGCTGCAGATCGATGCAGGTGGTATGAGCAAACCGTTAATGGCACAGATTTATACAGCTCTGTATTTTATACATCCTTTGACAGATAAATCTGATCCCATTTACGTGTTTCGAAAAGAGATCTCAAAAGCCCAACTCTCCTTACTGTACTTTGCAAACTTTTGTGAAGGACTCAAAAGTTGCAGACAGTCATAAAATAGAGACCAACAAATTTAGAAAAAAGTTCAATACAGTAAAAAAAAAAGTAAAAATATGAAAACTTGGAATTGAACCTTTTATAAATTAGGCCCAGAGAAGATTAGATTTTGTTTGTCCCAGATCTAATGGCAAGCTGTAAAATAAGGATTTCTTAAATTTCAGATGCAGGGCAAGAGAAACGTAGGAAACAATCGTCCCTGTTATCTTCGATTACACGTCTTCCTATGGGGTCTGTATTCCATTTTACTCCTAGTTTTAATATTACACGGCAGGACGTTGTGTACTGAAGTTCACTTTATGAAGTTCCCAAGTGCTCCATTTGTCGTCTAATCTGTTCTCAGGCTGTTTGCTAGACGGCTGCAGCACAGGAAAGGCTAGATCACTGAGATGCTGTAGAGAAAAGCGAGGAACACAGTAAAATGTAAACGATAAATCAAACCTTGATCGCACTGGAATTAATTTTTGGTGGTCTGGGCATGGAGCCAGCGTAGTTCCTCTAAGCGAATATATGTTGTGTGGGATTAATTTTCATTCTTTGGAATGGACGGGATGCAAGTGACACAATCAGATACGTCAAATACTAAGACAAAACCGGTTGAGGCTATATTTTCTCCAGGCTTTTAGAAGAGACTTTTGTGTTTTCAACTGAATTGCTGTAAATCTAGAACTAAGTCTCAGGGGACCTCTTGGCACTGTTCCCAAAGTAGTAACACTATTTTCTTTGTAGGCACAAGGTTTGAAGAGCTCCTGTAATCCAAGCAATGTATATTTGAAAGTATATCAACAACAAAAATAGAAAGTGTTAGAAAAAAAATGGTTGAAACCCATGTCTTTTTTTTTTTTTTTCTTCTTCTGCTCTCTGTGGCAAGAAGTGAAGGGAAATCTCCCCAATGAGACACAGAGATGCAACAGGAAGTGGGGAAAAAATCCCTCCAAAATTTGGAGAAATTTTAGACGGTTGTTTTCCATGTCCCCATTGCTAATCAGGATACTTTTTTCCTGGACAGCTAAGGCTCAATCCAAAACTAATAAAATATTTTGGCTTTAGATGGAAGCCAAACAGAGCAGCAGCACTGGAGTCTAAGACCAGTCAATGAAAGTTCCAAAACAGTTGAAGACTATGGACATCTTTCCGAGCCCCAAGTGACAACACTAGGGTAGTGAGTCATGAGCAAATGCATACCTGGAAGTGATGGGTATTTTACCTCTGTTCTGGAGGCCAAACAAAATGGCACTGTAGTGAGGAAAGTTGGCTACATATGCTGGAGGGAAAAGGAGGGGGGGGGGGGTGTGTGAAAGCATATCAACTCAAAAACATATATACAGTATATTGCAGCTTACTGGTCCTTAGATGTGGTGGCATTCTTTAATGTTTTTATTTCCTTTATTTACCTGGTGAAACCTTTTCCTGTCCTAGGGTGACTGCTCCTCTATAGACATTGTGGTGAGTGTGAGTTGAGTTGTCACCCTAGGTTGCTCTCCTGAACTGGACTACAAACGCCACCCCTTCTTCCCATTTCCTTTATCATAGGTAAGGCTTTTTCTTTTTTTTTTTTTTTTTTTTTTTTTTAATTTACAGAAGAAAACGTGGAAAGCTGATAACATTATTTGACATTTCAGTTCAGCACACAGGAAGTTACAAGGATTTCAATCAGGATCAACAAGTACTTTTATGTACTTGTCAAAAATGTACATAACCTGAAAAAAGAAAACTAATGCAGTCACCAAATCTAGGGAATGGTAAAGTGCAATTCATTACATTTTGTTCTTGGTTTTTTTGGGTTTAGCCTACATGGCTCCTATACTTTGCTCTATGTGGGCAAAGGAAAGCATATCTAGATTTATGTATTTGTGCTCTTTAATTCATATTTTGCTTCAATGTAACAGAGCAATGAATCTAAGCAGTCCTTAATTCAAATGGTAACTTTGCTTTTTCCTTTTTTGACACATTCTTTCTATCTACTTGTTTGCAGAAAACCCAGAAAGAGCAGCTTTGTATTTTGTATCTGGAGTGTGCATTGGTCTCATTTTGACACTCGTGGCTCTAGTAATGAGGATATCCTGTCAGACCGACTGTAAAAGGTCCACAGTGAAGAAGACTCCCAAGAAGCAGGAGAGTGACAGTGACAGCAGCGATAGCGATGATGACTCGGACACCACATCTGACCTGTCTGCCAGAAGGCATCGGCGCTTTGAGAGGACTTTAAACATGAATGTTTTCACCTCTGCTGAGGAACTGGAGAGGGCACAAAGGCTCGAAGAGAGGGAACGTATTATCCGGGAGATCTGGATGAACGGCCAACCGGACATCCCAGGGACAAGGAGCCTGAACCGCTATTATTAGGAAGGTTTTTGTGCCAACTGCACACTTTGGTGAACAATGAAAAGCTTGTGTTTATGAGAGACTTTGTCAGGAAGTGCACGGAAATTCATTATTTATGAACTTTGCAGTTCCTCAATACTATGACCCTCAGGATATGAGAATGAGGGCAACCTTACTCCTTGCTATTAGCTAGGAGCAGTGACAAACACTTTGTGAGACTCTTCTGAGACTGTAATAATGCTTGAGGCTGGTCCTTGATGACACTCTGAGTTCTGAAACAAAGCAAGAGACTTGGAAAACTCAACCAGCATGGACAATGCAATGCAAGAGCTTCTTGCTAACATATGGGCATTTTTTGGGGGTTGGAGGGGGGTATGGAAGGACTCTTGATGTTTCCTACAAACAAAAAATCATCATGGTGATTATCTGTGCTATTTAATAGGTGTTTGAAATCTTCCTTTGTTTGGCAGCATTTACAACTGACACCTCAGGGATGAAATCCTTCAGTAGTTTGGCTCACAAGTGGTAGGTGTGGGAGGCACTTCACCCTTCAGCTCTTCAGGGGCTACAAGACTGAGCAAGCCCTTCCAGTTAGCAGGACTTGTAATTTCTCATTAGTTGAAGGAACTGCATGCTGTCCATATCTGATGTATGGTGTTATGAGCAGAACTGGGTTTACATTGTTGGGACCTTTAGGCAAAATATTATAGGCACACTTGCAAAACACTCCCAACCTGGCTGACTGGTAATTAGTATCAGTGATGAGTTTGTCTGTTCAACCTGTCCAACTGTAAAGGGGCTCGGAAACAAGTGATTCCAGTCTTATGATGAGACTTGATAGGCAGCATAGTGGTAGGCCTTCTCTTTCCTGATGAACATCTGTGGTGATCAGACCAAACCAGACCCTGCTATGAACATTTGTTTATAGGCCATCTCCACTGACACCATAAAACTCTTCATCTTTCACTAGGCACTTCAATCACTTGCTGATTTCCTACCTCCTTGGAGGCTTCAATGTCTAGTGATGTGGTCATAATGAATGGGAGATTATTGCACAGCTCGATTCCTCAAGTAGGGTCCGCTGTGGATATTCAATGCCATCATTTGCTTTTGTACTGACTACAGCAGTTTATGAGAAATGGGAATTCCCCTGCACAATGAACACTGCATAGCCAATGGCTTTTACATAAATCTTCAAGCTGTTGGAATACTTTTCAGGGCATATTTGCAAATCATCGGTTTGTCAATATGGCGAAGAAACCAAGTGTTTCAAAAGCTTTTATTTTGTAAGAGCATCTATAGTGGTTTTCTACAGATTTTCTTTAGCATGTATGTAAACCCTCACCTTCTACAACAACCCATTCAGTTTAAAATAGAGAAGGTAAAACAATTGTGTAAACCTATAAAAAAAAATTATAAATACCTTTTTTATTCCCTTTTTCATACTGTAAGTGATCACATACCCTCTGTTCCCAGCGACATAAGGATCTTACAGAGCTCAGGGAGGAGAAGCAGCAGCAGTACACTGATCTTCCCAGAGAATGGCTGTGCAAGGGGGGCATGTCAGCAGAAGTCTGATCAGTGGTGGAAAGCAGGCAGAGTTCTCAGTACAGTTAGAGAACTGACTACACTGTGCTCTTATGCCCAGGGTGGTCAGTTTTATTAAAATAAATAAAATAGGACTTCAGAGGGACTGGCAGGAACACCGGGAATTTCGCACAAAGGAAGCAATACAAACAGACCAGGATAATTTTTCATACAGGTACATGGTGCAACAGGTACATATCAGATATATGAAACATTAGGTTTACATATTCTCTAAAGCCAGCAAGTGGAGCTCTAGTATCTTTCTTAGGTTTAGCATTTTATCTTTGCTGATACAAGGCTAAAAGAAGCCCTATATTTACATAACTTTACAAGTCATCTCAGTAGTAACTTATCCTTTATCAGATGGCTGAGTTGGAGGTTTTAGGTCCCATTCACAACACAACACACATTTTCTTGAGTTGATGCTGTTGCAGTACACTGCGTTAGGCACCCAAACGCACTATAACATAGGTGCTGTTTACATTTTAACGCAGTGAAGTGCATCACACAGGACACCGTGCCTTGTTCTGTCCTGTGGTGTGTTGCAGGGCATATATGTTGTGAAGGTCCATTTGGGTGCTATTTAAAGACTCAAATGTGAAATGGTGTGACTGGAGATCAGTCAACGCCCATCCCAGAGGAAATGTAGATCAAAAAATGGTGCGTGGCAGGGATGTTGAAGGAGAAAAACACACAAATTTAAAAAAAACAAAAAAAAAAACTACTTTATTCAATATGTATTAAGCTAAAAAACACAAACAGGCTCATAATTAAGATGTGAACAATAACCAAAAGAGAGCCAGTTGACCATATGATGTAATATAGAACCCCTTAAATATAGAATAGGCTGGGGAATTGGTCACAGTCCAGATAGTGTAGTTCCTATGTCCAGTGGGTTTTGAGACTGAAGCTCTTCTTCAGTGACGGTCCCGGAACCTTGGCATTCAAAAATGGACACTCAATGCCAATTAATACAGATATCAGTATGAAACATGACATTGTTATTCACTATTATATGCTATTCACAAGAAATAGTACACAGCACACCACGGTATGTAACATTTATTATTGCATGTTGTGGTAATGTGCACTTTTCAGCAACAGCCTGGTGTAAATGAGACCTCCGCTAAAAAGCAATGCAAAGACTTTTCTTTGTCACTTTATCTAATTTATATTGCTCTGGGAATCCTTTATCTTTTAATCACGATCCTCTTTAAAGCCCAACTGTGACCTTCACTCCCCTGTGTGTTATGCTTTTTTTTTTTTTTTTAATCTCATACTTACCGATTTTCAATTTTCTTTAAGCTATTCACATGACTTTAGGCTGGTCAGGTGATGCAGGATCCTGTTTGCCTCTTCCTTAATGGTGGGCAGTCCTTAATGAAGCCGAGAGTGCGGTGACATGAGGACTTCAGAATTTCTCTTTGCCTTTACAACCTTGTGCAGGGTGCATGTTGATGCTCTATTTAGAGATCCACAGTGCCCTGTACTTACAGTATGTCCTCAATCATCCGAGTTGAATCATGCTGGGCGTTATTCAGCCTGGAAGACAGGACATTCAGTGGGGAAAATAAATTACTGTAGGGGAAATTAAATTACTGTTGGGAAAAGCAAAAGCTGCTTTTCTTTTTTTATTTAGTCCGGCTGGGGGCCCATTTGATACATTTTCCCCAGAGTTCGGCTTCAAGTTTGCATTAAAAGACAAGTTCACCTTTCATAACATAATACATGTTACACCCCCAACATGGGTGTAACATGTAGCATGTTACGATTGAACCGGCTTCTGCACCCCCCTCCCCTCGATCCCTGATCTTCTCCTCTCCGTTAGCTGTCACAATTTTAAAAAAGCGGCTTGCGGGGCTCCGCCCACCCGGCCGTGTCACTCATTCACAGTATTCCGTGTATGTAAAAACTTTGCAGATGTCGGCTTGTAGTTTTCAATGAAATACCACAGCGCTCCACAACTCCTAGTATCTGCTTTCCTGTATGGGATGTACGAGCAAGCAAATATACTGACCGGTCAGGGAGAGACCTGCATGGCACCAGCAATCTCCTGATCACTGGTGCAATGCTTTACAGACTCCAGAAACAAAAAATAATAAATGTACATTTTTTTTTTACCTGCAAAAAAAGTGCATTTATTATTTTTTGTTAAAAGGTGAACTTATCCTTTACGTTTAAAGGAAAATTCCTGAAAAAGGTGGATTTTCACTATTGCTTTGTGTATCTTCTGTATACTGGCTTTGATGGGATACTCCTTAGCTCCCTGTTTTGCTCCAGTGAGACATCTGCAGTTACAGGTTTCACTCTTTGCAAAATCTACCAATGACATCTGATATTGTGTTATGATAAAATACAATAATTACTATAAGAGCAAGAGACTTAATAGAGGCTTAATTAGTCAAATAGAGAGTTTCCATATTTTATTGGAAATCCCAATGGACGAGTGCCTCCAGTTCCCAACTGTAAACCCAGTTCTATTTTATGGGTAGAATTTATGGAAACAAGATCTCCATGTGTTGTGTCAGAAGCTAACAACCTCAGAGAGGTTGCATCTTTTCATTTTTATATAATATATATATAGAAGTATTTTGGAAATGCTGCACAATGTTGTGCCTTATCGAGTATCTTGTTTGTTGAGCAATGTTTCCCTATGGAATGCACACACTATTTTTATATATTTTATTAAAGGAGAATAAAACGTATTTGTATGTTGAACAATGAGAGACCAAATTTGGCCAAAGGATGAAACCAATAAAATAAAATGGTTTTGTATTTCATTATTAAGTCTTGTGTCACAGCACAGGTGCTGCACATCCAATAGTTGTGTATTTCATAAAGCACTGAGGTCCATGAAGGGTTTAGAGTGAACTAAAATTACTTGCAAAGGTTGACGCGTTTCAGCTTAACAAGCCTTTTCCTAACCTAAGACTAAGGCTTGTTAAGCAAAACACATCAACCTTTTGTACCTGTGATGTTTTTAATGTGGTCGATTGAATAAAAGGAAGATTTTAGAGCAGTGGCGGTTGTGTGGATCAATTTCATTCATCTGACTCTTCAACAGACAAGCAACTGTAGATCACGCACTTGCCTAACTCTTGATATGAACATTGGATGGGTAGTAGCGCCTATTCTTCATTCTACAACCCCCAAGATATGAAAATTTTAATTACATTCTAAAAACAGCACCAACTGTAGGAAGAACATGGTATTGCAACCCATCAAATGCAAAACTCCAAAGACTACATTTTCATGACTTTTAGTCCCTAATTAACCGTCCTTTTTTTTTTTTTTTTTTTTTTCAATTCTTAGTTTTAGCACTGCTGATCACCTCTAATCTCTTTCAGCCACTTCCATTATATATAGATTGTAAGCTCGAAAGAGCAGGGCCCTCAAACCCCTCGTGTATTGTATTGTTACTGTCTTGTCTCATGTTCTGTCCCCCTTGCTACTGTACAGCGCTGAGCAAACCCTTTGCATATATTATTATTATACAGTATTTATATAGCGCCAATCACCCCAGCATTAACTGCATGTTGTTGCTCTGGGCCAGCTTCTTGACAACAGTGGACCATACCTGCACAATGTCTGTCATGACTGCCTATACTTTCTTCCAGGGTGACAACACAGAAGCACAATTGGGAAACAGTTGTCAACCCATAATAGGAGGTGCCTAAACAAGGACCCTCATGGCTGGATTACCAGGTAATATTTGATGGAAATTGCAGATATTGAGGATTGAAAACTTCTGAAATTAGACTAACATGTTAAAATTGGTATGAGATTTTAGTGATTAAAATAGAACGAACATCAAAACTTTACTATTGAAAGTGAAAGGAACCTAACATTTTGGGTTGTCCCCTAAAAAAGTAATGGAGGGGAAAATTTCCAGTTAGGACACTGGTTCTGGTGACATGGGGTCCCTAAGGAATTCCCCTAATTTGCAGGGAATTTCAGTTCCTGTTTTGGCTTTGGGATAGGAAGTGATGGTAAATCTCCCCAACGGACACAAATGGCAAAAAATAAACTGACAGGGGTTACGACTCTCCCATAGTCTATCCAAAATGAGAAAAAAAAAGTTTTTCCTATACTACTACTTTTAAATGTAAAATTTTGGTATAGTACTAGAACTAGACCTCCGTCATTTAATGCACAAATATGACTTTCCTGTGTACAACTACAAGTAGCTCTAGGCACCTATAAAACCTATACAATTACAAAGATCAATAAGATCATTTATATTTTATGAACGCAATGTACTGTTTCCCTAAGCCTTCTACATTAACATTTAGGTTCATATATATTTCAAAAGATGAACTATAGGCAACATATTTGTTTTTCATTTTGGATAGAGCAAGGGAGGACTATACCCCCTGTTGGTAAAATTTTTGCCATCTATGCCCCACTGGGAAGATTTCCCTTTTCTTCCTGCCCTGTAGCCAAAACAAGAAGTGAGAGGAAATCCATACAAATTAAGGGAATCCGTTGGGGACCACCAGGCCACCAGAACCATTGGAAGATTTACCCTTTTATTACTTTTCTGGAGACAACCGAAAATTTGGCTTTTTCTTTTAGTTTCACTTTCAATGCTAATGGTAAAGAGGACAAACAGAGCAGATGAATCTCCTTAATGGGGAAACAGAAAGTGAAAAAAATTGAGAGGTGTTCTCAGGGCTTTTTTTCAGAGGGAATGCAGTTCCGGTACCTCCGGCACTGAATGCTTGTAATGGCAAGGAGTGCTGGGGGATCTATTGTCACTGAAAGGGCTCTATTGTTAATACCGTGTTTCCCCGAAAGTAAGACCTAGCGGTACTTTTTGGCGTACCACTAATATAAGCCCTCCCCGAAAATAAGACCTACCTCCACCAGGGGCAGACTGACCATTCAGGCACTGCCCAAGGCCCGGGGTCACTGCAGGGCCCCATAAGAGGCTCAGTCCGTCCCTGTATGTGCCTGCTTCTGAAATAAGCAGGCATTGAGGGGACAAACAGTGAGACAGGCACTTCGGACACCTCTCCTCGGAGTTTCAGCAGAGGGGCTGCCATCCCTGCCACGGGGGATCAGAGGAGGGGCGGGCAGAGTATGCAGCAGGTAAGTATGTAATCCCCATATCCTGGTGAGAGCACTGCAGCTTCATGTAGTAGGTATGGGGGAGAGCGAGGGGGGGGAGAGAGGGCAGAAAGAGGGGGGGGGAGAGAGAGAGAGATGGCAGAAAGGGGGGGAGAGAGAGAGAAGGCAGAGAGAGGGGGGGGGCTTACTTTAAAATGTACCTTTTTGTGGAACTGGTGGAGAGATCCGTTAGGTTGCAAGCCGACGATCCCCACAGGATGGATCAGATCTGTGGATTCGGGAGGATAATGGATCGGACTCCGATCCATGATGCTCTACCCGCAGATCCAATCCATCCTATGGGGATTGTCAGAGGGGGTGTCGCCAAGTGAATAAAAATAAATAAAAGTCAATAAAAATAAGACCTACCTGAAAATAAACCCTTGTGCATTTTTTTTTTTTACCTAAACTTAATATAAGACACTGGGTTATTTTCGGGGAAACATGGTAGGGTCAATTGTTGCTGGAAGGTGGGTCTACTGTTGAGGGAGAGGACTATTGTCTATGGCTGGCTGTAGGAGAGTCTATTGATTGTAGCTGCTGGGAAATGTGTTGTAGCTACTGGGGGTCTATAGGTCTTTTGTTTTCGGAGTCCATTGTTGCTGGAGGAATCTATTGTTACTGGTGGTGGGGGTCCATTACTGCTGGCGGGGGTCCATTACTGCTGGCTGCAGGAGATCTATATTTCTGCTTTTCTTGTTATCATTAAATCTATTACAAATTAATTAGCACCACAAAATTATACTTGGTTCTGTATTCTCTATAAGGAGCGGTACTGGGAGGTGGGTAGGGGGTGGAACAAGTGATGGTGGTCAGAGGTGGGTAGAGGGGGCAGAGACAAGAAGTGACTCAGAAGGGGGAGGTCCTTGCACCTATTTATTGAGGGGAAAAAAAACTGCTTTTTCTCCACTCTAGGCAAAACTCTTTATTTTTTTTCTTTGGTTTTGGATAACGTTATAATTCGATGCTTCACACTTACAGTCAACGTTAGACAAATATCCTACTGCTCTTTAGCCACTTTACCCCCCTTCCTGACCAGGCCATTTTTTGCAATACGGCGCTGAGATATTTTAACTGACAATTGCGCATTCATGCAACCTTGTACATAAATTAAATGTATGTCCTTTTTTTTCCCCCCACAAATGGAGCTTTCTTTTGATGGTATTTGATCTCCTGTGTGGTTTTTTTTTATTTTTTGCGCTATACACAAAAAAGACCAACAATTTTCTAAAAACAATATTTTTGACTTTTTGCTATAAAACATATCCAGTAAAAAAAAAATCTAATTTCTTCATATATTTAGGCCAAATGTATTCTGGTATATATCTTTACCAAAAAAAAAAATCCAATACATGTAAATTGGTTTACTTGAAAGTTCCAGCGTCTACAAATGGCGGTGTATATATACATTAATTTTTTTTTTCTTTTATACTAGTAATGGCGGCAATCAGTGACTTATAGCGGGACTGTGCAATTCTGACACTGGGGAGGAACTGACTACTGGCTACCGACATCCCCATTGACACTAATACAGTGATCAGTTCTAATCAAAATCACTGACACTGTACTAATGGCACTGGGCAGGGTTAACATCTGGAGTGATCAAAGGGTTTACTGTGTGCTGTGTGTGTTTTACTAGGAAACATTCTGCTGTGTATTTCTCTGCACAGCAGAGAAATACACAGCAATAGGTTACTGCTGGCAGGAGAGAGACCTGTGTTTACACATTGATCTCCAGGGGCTGACTGACAACTCATGGGGCCCCCCGGGCAATAGAGGATCATGGGGCCCCTGTGTCCTTGCCCATACCTACAAAAGCCAATGAAAGGTACCAGGGGCATTTCATGGGGCCCCCTACTGACCCCTGGCCCTCGGGCAGTGTCCAAGTGCTTGAATGGTCTGTCTGCCCCTGCCGGTCTGTTCCCCTGTCAGTGTTACTTGGCAATCACCAGGTACTGGTGGGCGTGGATAGGGCAGCTTGTGTGTGCGTGCCCCCTACCCGGAAATCCAAAATCATGTATATAGACATGATTCTGCGCAGCCCTGCCACCCTGTAGCAGTAGTTCTGCTATAGGGAAGATGGGAAGTGGTTAATTTCTGCAATTTTGAGTTATAAATGCTTTTTTACCAGTTATAAATGCTTGTCCCCCCCCCCCCCCCCCCGTACTGCACTGCTGTTGTAAATGTGCATGGCTACTATATTGCTTTTGGTGATGTATGTGGTTGTTCAGGTGAGAGCATCATAGACCTCATTCTCTAGGCAGCACTGACAAGTTGCCCCTTTATTGCCACGTACAATATAAGTTAATGGGGATGATTTACTAAAGGCAAGTAGACTGTTCACTTGGCAATTCTGCAAGGGAATTATCACCAGATCTTTGGGGAACCTTTGTAAAGTGAAGCTTCACCACATTCACAATCACGTGCAAGAAAGAAAAACTGTAACAGAGCTTCATCTCATTTACTAAGCTCTGAAGTAAATCCACTTGCAAAGTGATCACTTGCCGGCCGGCCGCTGTATATAAACAGCCGGACGGTGGCAGTCCAGGGGCGGGTTGCCGTTCATAAACGGTGCCCGCCATTATGGACTGTGCGCACTCCCTGGGAGTGTGCAGCACTGCGATCCGGTGCCCGCTGTGTCCTCCGGACACGGTGGAACACAGATCGTTATACGGGACCTCTGTGCGAGGTCCCGATCATGTGATCACTGCTTGGCTAATCAGTAATCACATGCAGAGTAGTAAGCAAGATGTCACTTCGACATCATTGCTTACTACGTGTGACATCTGTGAATGATCACAGAGGTCACATGGTACAAGGCTATTCACAACAGCCTTGTACCATGTGACAAGCTGTGACCAATCACAGCTTACACAGTAGTTCTCAATGGCTGCAAGAATGCAGCCAGAGAAAGGAAATGATTGCTTTTACAGCCTTTATGGGTGTAAAAGCAATCGGTGTAAAAAAAAAAAAAAAATCTTTATCACCCCCCACAAGTAGTACATTGTCACCATGGTGACACTGTACTGCTAGGGTGACCGTATGTAGAAAAAAATATATAAAAATGTAAAAAAAAAAAGGTTTAATTATAATTTTTGGTTATAAACTAATTTGGCTTTTTATTTTTACTAAAAAGATAACTGAATAAATTTTGGCCAAGATTTATGATGAAATATTATTTTTTTTGCAAAATTTTATAAGAAAGTTTTATTCAAAATTTTTGAACTTTTTCATTTATATAGCAAAAACAAATCCCAGTGGTGAATAAATACCACCAAAAAAAAGCTTTATCTGGCTCAAAAAAATGCTAAAAAAATTCATATGGGTACAGTGTTGCATGACCGCGTAATTGTCATTCAAAGTGTGATAGCGCTGAAAGCTGAAAATTGGCCTGGACAGGAAGGGGGTGAAAGTGTCTGGACTTGAAGTGGTTAATATGCCTATAGTAAATCAACCCCAATGCATCTGGCAGGATCATCAGGTAAAACTATAAAACTGACAGAAGGATTAAAAATAATAATTGGAGCAATACTGAGAGGCAATGACTACAACATATGACTTTTTGAATTTATGGTTTATATTTACTTTAAATATAAGCTTTTTAATGGAATTTTCTTGTTGGTCTAGAGCAGCCATTTTCAACCTCTGGGTTCCTCCTGAGGTTACTAAAGGTTTCCTGAGGTAGAACTAAAGGCATCTTGGACAAAGCATGGGAGGGTTATAACTCCTAGCAGATTTCTGCCATCTGTGTCCTATGGGGCAGATTTCCCTTCACTTCCAGTCCCATAGTCATACAGGAAGTGAGAGGAAATCTCTGCAAATTAAGGGAATTCCTTAGATACCCCCATGTCACCAGGACTAATGTCCCCATTGGAAGACTCCACTGGGAGTCAACCCAAAATTTGGGATTTTCATTTACTTTCACTTATGATAATGGTATACAGGGACACTAACCGCAATAAAGGTATACAGGGACACTATCTGCAATAAAAACCTGGCAAATGTTCTAATCCTCCTTCAAGCTATCCAAAAGAAAAAAAAAAAAGTATAACTAAAAGGCAAAACTTTTTTTTTCTTTTAACCACTTCATGACCACGCTATAGCCGAATGCCAGCTACAGCGTGTTTGTCTAGTTCTGGGAAGGCGTCATATGAGGTCTTCCCTGAATGCGCCCCCCAGCATTCTCTGTGATCGCTGTGTCCTTTGGACATAGCTGATCACATGACACGGTAAAAGGCCAATTTACCGTGACCTTTTACCACATGATCAGCTGTAACCAATCACAGCTCATCATCATGTAAATACACTTGCCAGTTATCGGCAGTACTTTCCCTATGCTGTCAAAGCGTGAGGAAAGTACTGGCGATAACTGGCAACTGTCAAAGGAGACATCTACACTGATCAGAGCAGCCCCAAAAGTGCCCATCAGTGCAGCCTCATCAATGCACATCAGCGAAGTAGAAAAATTACCTGTGTGCAAAATTATATAATAGAAACAAAACCTTTTTTTTTTTTTCTAAATTTTTGGTCTTTTTTCCTTTTATAGTGCAAAAAAAAAAAACCCAGTGGTTATTAAATGGCAACAAAAGAAAGCTCTATTTATAGGAAAAAAAAGATAAACATTTCATATACGTACAATGTTGCATGACTGCGCAATTGTCATTTAAAGTGCGACAACTCTGAAAATTGGCCTGAGCAGGAAGGGGGTAAAAGTGCCCAGTAGGCAAGTGGTAAAGGTGTGGCTGCATGACATCTCACCTGATGATGCCTGCATAGTTCCACGGTCATAATCAGTTGGTAGAGCCATTGGCATGAACCGGATTTCAGGGCATTTTTCCTGTCAGCCACCAATGTAAGGGGTATTTTTCTCACTGACCACCAACTGGTTTCAGAAAGTTTTCCCTAAGACCTGAAAATTAATTCAAGGGGCCGTCTAGGGTGACAATGTTGAGAGAGACTGGGGTTTATTTACTTATGCTGGTTCATGCAGAATCTTCTGCACTTAATTGATAAAGCTGATTGGCTACCATGCACAGGTGCACAAGATTCTGAATGAACCAGCTTTAGTAAATATTCACCACTGTTTTAGATTTTCCTTCTTCTCTGCTGTATGCTCTGACTCAAACCGAGGGTGCTGAAATGGACAGGAAAGGAGTGCTTCTAAAAACAAAACAAAACAAAACTTTTAAATAGGAAAAAAAACCCCACAAAAATTGGTTCAATGAGGAATTTAGGAAAGATAACATACAAGAGGTCAATGTTGTGTGGCCGATGCTGTGATCTCCTTCAGAGTTTTTGGACTGGAAGACACATGGCCCTTGTGAGGAATTCTCTGTTCTGGGTGATGGCTTGGCTCTTCATCTTAGCACAAGTCTATTTCTGGAACATTTATAGAAAGAGTGCTTCAAACAAGGTTGCTTCCTTTAGTTGCTTTGAATTTTATTGGAGATTGTTTTTTATAGCCTTTTGCTAATACAAAATAAGCCATTCTTTTGTTTATTCATTGGTTAATGTCATTGCATTGTATCATAGTACAAACATGGACACTGCGGTCAAAGAAGGAAATGGAATTCTATGGTTATACTATCCCATACCTCCGAATATTCTGGAATGGGAAAGTAGAAAACCTTGAAGCACAAATATGTATGCAAAGCAACACACCCCTGCCACATCTCCAATTGCATGGAACGGGAAGAGAGAATACGCCAAAAATTAACTAAAGCCAAATCAATTTCTTACAAATAAGGGATATTTGAGGTGCCAAGTAATGCACAGAATATACTATACTGTTAAAACCCAATTGATTAGTATGTAGCACTACCCCCTCGGGGATTGCTGAGTAATTTTTGGGTTCTCTGTCTTGCCTGACCCCACTCTGAAAGCTCAACCCTTGCCGACGCCACCTTAAACCTCCAGCCAGAGGTATCCTCTGGCTGCAACCTCAAATAGACTCACAGACAGTTTAGAGTGAACGGATATCTTAGTTGTATTGAGATCAAATATAAGCACAGTGAAAAAAAAAATTTATGCATAAAATAATAGCTTTCGCTTGTAGTAATTTCAGGTAAAGGTTAAACACGTAAAATATCAATCAGTTATGGATGTCCTGCAATTCAGAATTGAGCTGTCTTTCCCAAGTGAACAAGAAAAACTACCAAACAGATCGGCTAGCTCACTTTGGTCTCTCAGAGGCGGGTGACAGGGTTCAATTCTGAGGCAGAGAAAGAGCTTTTAATTGAATAGATCAATGTCCCTTTAAACTGCAGTATAATATCTTCTGGGTGCTTGATGGGGCCCAAGTTGGTGCACTTTATGAATTCAAATCCCTCTGAAAGCATAGGTAGAAATTCTTGAATAAGGGGTGAATACAAAGGAGCTGTCCCTTTTAAGTGGTAGGTGACTTGGACGGTACCTCTGTAACACACACTGGGTAAAGTGTAGATTTAGGCAGGGATAAAAAATATCTTTCTCTAAGGACTAACTTCTGTCAGGACTCCAGTGGTCTTTGGTGAATGTGGGACTGACTACAGGGAAAGCAATGATGCGGCTTAGCTTGCGAAGGGCAAGGCACGGCAGTGCACTCCTAGGTCTCAACATGTGTAGCTTGAGAACAGTGTCAGTTAAACTAGGCAGAAAGCAGCAGACTTGATCAATGTCATTGGTAACTTGAATGGCTTGAGAATGGATCTCTCTCACCAGATTGGTGGCATTGGTCAGGTAGTTGATAGTCTCTCTGCAGATGGGGGCCCCCAGTTTTCCCGCGGTTCCTCTTTCAGAGATCACTCCAGACAGCTGCACTCTGGACCACCAGCCTGCAGGACAGCTCACCAGACTCGTCAGCAGTCAGCAACTCCTCTTTCACTCACACTGCAGCCCAACCTGGCCTTGTCCTTCAGTCTCCTGCATGGTCTTCTCCTTTACACCTGTTCTCCAGCTCTCACCCCTCACTTCCTGTCCCGGGTTCTGTATTTATTTGGCTCTGCCACACACCAGCTCTTCTGGGAAATGTAGTTCATTAGCCCGCTGTCAAACAGCAAGGTCCTGCAGTCAGTCTACCAATTCCACAAAGCTTTGCAACAGGGTCTGTACAATTGGGCTGCAGGACACTTTTGTGTCAATTTAAAATCCTGCAAGCAGTCTCATGGCAGGGTGTTACAATTATAAGATCATAAAAACATGTCCAATTTAGACTTAAACACTGATTTCACAAACATATGGAAAGGATTCTAATGAATTTTTGTTATGCAATATGTTTCCCTCCTTAGAAGGAAGGAAACCCTTGCTGATGGCTGCCATTTTTGTTACAGGTAGTGGACAGGTGGAAAGGTTTATTTTCCCTATAGAAGCTTGGAGGACCTCATGGGGGGGGTAGCAGTAAAAAGAGGGCTAATAAAGCTGTGAACTGTTTTTTTGCTTTGGCCCTGGAAGGAAAGATCATCAGGCTCATATACATAATTTTTACTTGCCTGTTCTCCTCCCAGGGGGAGAACCGGTGTGGATGGTGGTCCCCAAGCCCATGACTCCAGTCTTAGAAAAAGTTATTGCTTACCATAAGTTTCACAGAACCTGAGAAAGTGGGGGCAGACACCCACGAAATAAGTCGCAATTCATGCATTGCTTCCCCCCCGACTGGACCCCAGTCTCCATCTAGGATTGCAAGTTATGTTGGGTGAATCTGTGTTTTCAAGTCTTTTTCATTTTGGATAGAGCAAGGAAGGGTTATAACCATGTCAGATTTTATTTTCCCACCATCTGTGTCCTGTTGCCGAGTTTTGCCTTCACTTCCTGTCCCATAGCCAAACAGGAAATTAGAGGAAATCCCTGCAAATGAAGGGAATTCCTTGGGAACCCCCAGATCACCAGAACTGGTGTCCCCATTGGAAGATTTCCTTTTTCAATGATAATGATTAACAGGACAAATAGAGAA